ATAGAATTTTATCCATAGATGTTATGAGATTAATTGAAAGGCCATTGATTGTAATAATACACTGAACCACTGTTTTTACACTGATATCAGAAAAAAATAGCAATAAAGCTGGCATAGCTGTTCCTAATTAAATTTGTAGATTTTAAATTGTTATGATATATTCCCCAGTAAATTTCGTACCCGCTTCATTCTTCGTATACAAGATCCGCTTGCCACTTATAAATATATCTTTTACTTATGTCATTTTTCAAGAATAAGACGGATTCGATATTTTTTGTTGTGTAAACAGAAAATTTGTTCTGCAAACGAACACATTATTTAGACGCTTTGCAAAGGAGACTAACGATATTGATGCAGGAGGCGTTTAAAAAAATGTCCATTTATCACATATAGCTCAATACAAGTTCTGCTTAAAAGCAGGAATTTCGAGTATCTTTCATCTAGCACTACCTAAGCTTTATTTAATAATCTCTGTCTTATATTTATCTATGCATGTTTATCCAGTCTCGGTTGATTTAGCTTACTCTGTATTGACAAAATAATTGCCATATCATTAAATCTTATATTGATAGTTGCATTGCATTGCATGCCAATTTTATAGCTCTGTTAGTGCATGATGTAATCCTCATTTAGCAAACCTTCTCCTTCAAGCCTACCCCAGGCCGACCGATCATCACAAGCCGACGAAGCTACTAATACCTTGACCGTATGGCTCTCTCCCGCTTTCTCACCAAATGTCAGCTGCTTTACTCCCCGTAGCAGAACTATACGAAAAGATGCGTCGGCCTTCCGTCTGGAGATGAGTCGTTCGTGTAGTATCGCTGGGTCTATCTGTGCGTAGGGATGAGAGAGTGAGTTAGCAAAAGGCACGTCGACATCTAAAGTGAGTTCGACGATTACCGTCAGCCACGGCGTGGCCACTGCTGCGTGCTGTTGCTATTTTATGATTACTAGACGACAATAGGACAGACAAACCGAACTGTTTGCGATGAGCAGCTAGAATCGCCAGCAAACATCGTCTTGTTGACAGGCAGAGGCGCGGTCGACCAGGCGCTCGCTCTTGTCCGGCGACCGCCATGAGCAGCCGCGGTAGCGTCTAGCACTGCCGCAACACAGAATCGTGTGCGAATAACAGGAACCCGCCGTAGCAGAAGCTGTGCCAATACTAGCGTTAACGTTAGGCAGTAGAACCGCAATGGAACGGCGATCAACGTGTGTGTTACAGCCGCAACTAGTGTTACCAGGCAGCCCTGCTGCGGAGACAATTAAAGAGGCAAAACTCCAGCACAACTCTAAGCCCAGCCGTCGTAGCAATAACTATTGTCGTTAAACTCGACGCGGCGGGAGCGTGAAATTAATCTTGCGGGTTGTGTTCTCTAGAAAGCGCGTGAAAGGAAATAATCGTAAGACTTTAGAATGTTGTTCGACTATGTGATCTTCAGCCGTGCATTCTTTGTTGCAAAGAGCGCGTACTTTAGAAAATAGTGCACCCGTCTAACTGGATCGTGTATCTGTCTGTCTGTGGCGTTTTACCCTTGATTCGGTTTTGCGTCACCTGTCGCGCCCACCTGCGGTGCCCGGGTCGGTAATCAGACGGGATCAGTTGATCAGTGGGGTGCGAGCACTCGCGTGCTCCTGTCGTGCCATTTAGTGTTGCCAGCGCGTGTATCCTCTGTTTCTGTCTCTACGCTAATCTGGACGCGTGTGTTTGTGAGGTGTGCAGGGTAACTACGGTGGACATTGTGCTTCAGTGTACGAAATGTACGCGCTGGTGGCTGGGGCGGCTGGAGCACTATTGCTCCAAGCCAGCCCGTGCGCTGCCAATGCGCCAACCGACATTCGCATGGATGAGAAAGCGCGGACCATACACCGAATTGACTCGATTAACATACTCGTCTATACGGTCCTACTCATTTTGACCGTGTGTTTGATCTGGGCGTTCAAACGGCGGAGGGCACGATTCCTGCACGAAACTGGACTGGCCGTTATATTCGGTAAGAAATGACCAAATCAAGAAGCCACAAGTGTGCAATGACAATTTTCGACTGCTGACAACTAACCCGCTTTTTTTCTATTTATCAAAACAAGCGTTCACTGTAGGAGTATGCTAATTGTATTGTAATGGTTTCAAGAAGTTGATTTAAGCCCCTTTAACCAGTGTTTTGCTCGGTAAAAGAAGGCAGTAGAACTGTACAGACCTAATATATGCCGATAACGATAGGTGTTCTCGATGCGCAATATAAAGCAAGCTACGACTTTATATAAGTCGTAGTGAAGTTCCGTCCTATTAGAGCTGAGGTCAAAATTGTGACTGAAAAAAATCGTCGATCAGACTTAACTTGCTGCGTTTCTGATTTGGTCAGATAGTCAGTGACGACCGTTTTGAAGCTAGTTTGTATATTGATATGTGCAACTTCTGCTGAATACTATAATGAGGTCTGACATTCCGTTGATTCACTTTAGAAGGATAATTATTCAATTATAGTGTTAATAGAAATAGTTATGATTGATTTTCAATTTACTTTTAACCTCTCTATTATAGTTATTCTTGATGTGTCCGATTGATTCAACCCTATTTGGCTTTTCCGCGTTTCAATGAACGTTGAAATATTACATACACTTTCTCTGTTTTGCTGAGATTCTATCAGTCTATGGTGAAAGTAAGTAGCCTGCTTCATGAAATGTGTAAATTGGGTAAATTAAATGAACGGTAAGCTTTTTACAGTATTTTCTATAAGAGAAGCCTTCGATTACAAGCTCTTTGTGTGTTCTCTCCGTCTGCTAAAAAAATCTACTAGATACATACAAATTAGGAAAATACGCGTTACTCCGTTTGTGTAAAATCAAGCTTTGCTGATGATTTAAGTGTCAGCGAATGATTTGATGCGTAAGTGGTTGACGAAATATCGATCCTTCAATATGTATTATGAATTAGTAGAAAAAAAAAACAGATAATTAAATCTCTTAATGTTATGAGATGGCAAGCACCGTTATAATAAAACAACTTTTGCCAAGGGTAACGTTTTAAGGAAAAATGCTAGATGCGTTTTCTAATATCTGTACGGGGCAAGATATGGTAAGGACGTCCCGCGCAAACCCTTAAAAATTGGTGGCGTTGTCGGTAAACAGGAAAAGATATTTCACTGACTCATATTGCAGCGAGATACATATACTATGGTGTTTCCCACGTTTCCAGCAAAATTTCAGGGAGGGATTCTCTTCAGTAGTAACACTGTTTTTGTGCGTATCATTCGTGCTTCATGATATACCTATTTGGGATATCTGGTCGTTTTGAAAACCTGCAGCTGACGAAGGCCGAATCTGTTTCGACAAAAGAAGCCTGAAATAGTTATTAAACGATTAAGTTGAATGTGGGCCAACACTATTAACTTGCAAATGAGCATATTTATGTTTGTTTCACTACTAAGCTGCGTATAGATTACCACAACCTATTGTTTGAGAACGACAACCAGATTTTCAAGCTTCAAGTTCGAACTTGTTGTGGGCTGAGCCTAAGCAGCAATAGCATTCTATTTTTTTTTAGATAAACTTAGCTCTAGCTACCTTACTTACATTTGAAAAAGTCAACCACTCTATTATTATTTTCTACTGCCAAAAACGGTAAAATATTGTGTCTCAATATAAAAGATATTGAGCAAAGCCAAGACGAAGTTTTGTCAGATGTAGGCATTTTACTACACCGCTTAGTAGCGAGCACCGCTATGTTTCAGACAGTTGAAATTAACAGAGAAGCTGAACAAACATTTTTATTAAAGGACGCTTGTTGATAGACCCAGCTAATGTAAGCCTTCCGCTACGTATAAGTAAGGAAACGAAATGATTTTTGAACTGCCTCAATACCTCTTGACAGAGACAACCTTCAATACTTCAATGCGGCACAGTGACCGAGCTCGGATGTACTCAAGTGGGCGTTCAAGTAAATGTTTATCACACGAAAATTAATTCTGTTAATAATGATTTCTAGCTGAATTATCTTTCGGCGGTTTTCTAATCCCTAATTTATGCTAAGAAGCATTAGTCCTGTGCAGAAAATCCTTATTCACAGATTTTTTTCTATTTAGCCATCATCTATTGCTTCTTTCTGTACACTCAGTTACCGGTTAATTGCGCACTTTCGTCGACAAAGGTGAATACTGCGCCTATTAGCGCAAACTGTTTACCTGAACAGCCAAGGCGAGCCAAGGACTAATCGGCTGAGCCGGTAAATTGATTAGGACGGGTGTTGCCATTTACCGTGGATCCGCCATAGGAAGGCATATTACATGGTACCTGCATTATACAATAATACGAGCAAAAACTATTGAGGCTTATGTTGACCATCAGGTTATTTGATCCTTGTAGCCGCTTCATTTCCTTCCTATACGGAACCTATCTGTATATTGGGGATTATGCCTATTTATTCCTTGTGTTTCTTACACGTTGGTCGTACGAACCATGTCGTACGTGGGAATATGAACTAGAAGATAAGGTATAATCTCGAAAGACAGTTTGGGTTCAGATGATTGAGCCAGTCTTTCAACGGCTTCGTGGAATAGATTTAGGTTGCTTCTGCTTCAAAAATATACCATACAATTGTTAACAGTGTGTGATTCTTCTTTAACTTCTCGACTGCTCTAAATTAGTTCAGAAAAAGATGTGAGTGTAATGTTCAGTCCGCTATCATTGCGGTATATTAAGACATAGTAAGATACAGATAACCAGAGAGCAAAAAGGTTAGGTAATAAATCAACAGACAAATAGACGTTGGAGCCTATTCCAGGTCGAGTATATCTAACGGTCGACAGATATGGATACAGCTATAGCTGAGATATACAACTGCTATCTAGGTCGTATGCATTTGACTATCGAGGACTGCCTATTACTGTAAGTATGGGTAAATCGATCGATTCCCAGGGGTGCGCCGTCGCCTACCCAACCAGAAAATGAAAGACTAATGCGAACACGCGTAGCTGTCAACAGCCAATTTTCATTTGTCACGTCCAATAAGCTTTTCTAGGCCGAGCAGATAAGATAGGTGATCTCGGCGAAGGTATCCGATACAGATAGGCCTCGAAAAGCTACGTAGACCTTTTCATAGGATCATTCACGAGTTGACATTTCTGAGCAAGAAAACGAATTCTGTCTGTGCGTTAATTACAATTGGTGAAAGAAAAAAGGGGGTTGCCGCTACAAAATTTCGAATAGTTTTTAATTCGTTCTCGACAGTTGCCAACCGCAGTCTAATGTGTTGCTATTTTCCCGATGTTAGGAAACACCCGTTTAAAGTAATTATTTACAACAAGTTGATGCGAGCTACGTCTGCTTAAACAGGAGCTGCAGAGCTGTTACAGTTAAAACTAGGCTCCGTAGCCGTGTTAGTTACCAAAAAGATATCTTCACACAGAGATATTTCACAGCATCCAACTCTAGAAAAAAGTATTGTTTGGTTCGCTCTTACCTAGTGGTGTCTATATTGGGGGAGCCTCCCGAGAACCTTACTGTTTTTTGTGACGGAACAAGGTCATCGTCTGGTTAATTTCAACTATGCTCTAGTCGTTGAATTTCTGTTCAGTGACACGCCATCGATGATTTAGTAGATCAATTCGGGAACCTTGTCCATCTTCCATACGCCGGGCCGTTATATGTAATCATACATGTATTAAGGCATTGATTATATGAGATACGAGTCAATATTCCAGCAGCTAGTATACGTTCAAGTTTTTAAAGTAACAGTGACGAAAGCATATAGAACATTTCATTTTGCATGTTTCTGTTTGACGGTTTCGTTATCGCTGTCGGATGGTCAGCGTCAGCTCATATTTAGCACGTGCGAATCGATCGAGCTTTTCTCTGATCTTACGTAATTGTCGTAATTCAAAGCGAGCGAATGATCAAGGGTAGGTGAACAAAGGTATAAATAACAGATAGAATTGTCATCGTGAAAAGCCTTTGATTAGGGCAGACTTCCGACTTGTAGACGCTACGCCGTTGAATATACAAGTAATAAATCCGTTCTTGCGAATAATTAAACGTTTATCGGGTCTATCTGGCTATGCCCGTGTGCATTTACTGGTCGAAGTTTGGAGTTCGCTTTCAATTAGCACAGTTTGCCATAGCTCTAGGAGGATGCGGATAAGTTATTGTATTTGCAACAGACTTATATTAAAGAGGACGTTTATTTAGCGATGTTATACGATCCAGCAGGGCTGCTACGGTCTTTGTTGTTAACTTATGCGGTCGCAATGTTGCTCTCAGTGGGTCGGTGACATGGCCGACACGTCACTGTAGAGCTTAGTGTTACGAAGTCATCCAAATATTATAATGCGCGAATAGTGTCAACGATGGTAGCAATGGCAACGGTAATACGGTGGTATCTGGAAGGGCAAATGTTAGCCGGCAGCTGGCTCTGACATATTGTTATTCCTGATGTCCCCTGTTGCTCATGGTGGGTTTGCTGTTTAGCTATTTGTTCTGTAGCCGCTAAATGCTAGTGTCGTAGCATTACATTGTAAGCCGAAAAAAAAAAACACAATCTACTGTTATTGGAATCGCTATGGGCCTTACAAAAGTGTCAGAACTTTCGTTAGCTCAAATTCGCATTCTTCTAGCTACATCGGGCATTGCGGCTACCTGCTGCATCGGGTTATCTTTGGAACTAAGTGCGCGGATAATTATACTTTTATATATTTTCAAGTAATTGACGCTAGAATGGAAAGACACACTGCTTGAGATGTTCTGCGTCATTTAGCGAAGGCGTATGATACTAGACGATCAACTCATCGCCATAATAATTGAGAGTGTTTTAGTTGGCTGAGAGGCCTTGACTACAGAGGTGCGCGCGAGATGATAACCTACAGCTTGTCGGCGTTTTACCACTATACTGTTTTATTTCTTATGGCCCCCTATGAGCCTTTCCGGATTTTGACACGAATCTTCATTGAGCTTGGCACGAATGTCAAAGGTAATGAATCGATGCATATATACATTGTTTTGCTATTGAGTTCTCGGAAGAATCAATAAACCGCTCTATCATTGCAAATTCATTACTAGAACTACGGTAATATGTACGCTTGTCTTCGTAATCGATTTCATTGTACGGTATTTGTCTTGTATGCTTAATAATCTGCTTATTCATAATAGTCATTTAATATAGTTACTATTGTAATACTCGGTAGTATTCTGGTGGTTCGTAACACGAAAGTCTATGTAAATAAATATATCTGTTTCTTTTCATGAGGCTGAAACAAATTTGAACTAGTTTAATGATTGACAAGCACGCGTCGATGCCCCGTTACTCCTGGCAGCTTAGCATCCTCCAGGAAGGCCTGTGACGTAATTTCATGAACGTTTAACTAAAATTCTTCCATAGAGAATTACCAGACTTTACACCAATAAACGCGTGCGCGCAGGTGCCACTACCGCGACTTGCAATCTTTATCAGACTATTTATCGAATTAACCTAGTGCCATCGCAACGTTCTCGTACGATAAAGATCGCGATAGATACATCTGAGCTATTGCCTCACAACCATAATAGCTCAAATGGGCAGCACAAAGTAACGAACAAAACACGGCAGAGGATCTAAACCAATTAGGATCGATTTAGTTCGTGCTAATCAGCCATGTGCTTGTTAGACACACAAAAAACAGTTGCATGCCGTGAGTGAAATACATTTTTTTTTTTAATTAAATACATCTCCTGCGACGTAAAGGACTCGTTCGTAGCTTGCAGCGCTGAAAGTATCCTGAACAGTTCGTTGGTCCATACAGGTACTTAATGCCTTTTACCCTTTTGTGCTGTCTACAACGAAATGAACATAGTGAAGGCAAGTACAATTTGTAATAGGTAAGCTATTCTTAGAATGATGTCTACAAGTTTAAGACAGATCAGATTCAAATAACAAAGCATTTAATGCCAAAATGATGTGTTCGACATTTAGAAGCTCCTTATATTGCTCAGGCTGCTCGTTGTTTCGACGGTCCTACAACAGCGGATGGCGGAACTACGAAGATTCTAAACGTGTTTGGTGTTACTGGGCGTGGAATACATTTTTTTCAAAGTCTCTGTCAAGAAATGGTGGTAATGGACGGTCTCGTGCATCATAAGTGTTTACAATAATTCGTCAATGCGCTATGATACACCGAAATCGCAATAGACCGTATTGCGCCGAGGAGGCGCTTTGAGAACGGCTTCACACAAGCGAAGGCAGTAGTTTACTGTAATAAAATTTCGTATCTTTACCCACGTAGTCTCTAAGCTCAGGTATTTTTTCTGGGTCTTATATTGCTATGAGTACTGGTATGACGAACTTCTAGTCCTGTTCAGGCCATCGTCTTTCTACGTACTGGAAACTAATGTTTTTCTTTGCTGGCGTCTCTTGCGACTCCATCGCAATGAAAATTGTGGTCTATTCCGGCATCCGTTGAAAGCTATAGCTGATTCTGCGGCTAACATTCTGTACCTATTACGGCACATGTCTCCTATAGATTTAGTACAACATTTACAGGTTATTTGCTTCGAACGTCTGATAAAAATATTAACATTGAAGGTCCGAGCCGCATTAAAACCGATTAAGTGAAATGAACATGTGCAGACACCTGTTTAGAGAAGATTGCTTATCCCTAGGTTTTATTTGGTTACCCAGGAAGAACCAGGTCAGGACGAAACGTCAGCTGCCGCTGCCAATCCGACAAAACGCATGTAACGGCAAATCTGTTAAGGCGTACATGTACGTTATTTAGACACATTTTCGCGCGTTTAGCCGTTAATGATTTCAAAATTAAATAAACGTACATAAGAGCCGTTGCAGAAAAGAAGTTAGTTACACTTTCGCCCATTGAAGTCTTTATGAAACTAATAGTTTTTAAGCTCTATTCGATTTTGCATGGCATATAGGCGACTGACTTGCCTTGACGCCTGGTGTGATTTCTTTCTTAATGCTGCGATCCTGTTGGTTTAATGTTTCGTTAGGATAGACAACGTCCAATAGGATGAATCTCGGAATCTAGCCACTGAGTCTTCAATATGAATTTGACCTGTAAGTTATTATATGCCTGTAAAACGAACAGCGATTATTGGGGGTGTTTTAATTTAAGTCTCTACTGTTTGTTGCTCTATTTGGCAATAGCCTTTAAGGGAATTATCCTCATTTGTGGAATTTTTATGTTAGTGCTATTTTTTTTTATCACCCGGTAATGGTGCCCTCAATCTTTTTGGGTATGTAGCCAATTTTTTTAAAAACCGCGACAAACGAATTCGTTTGTAGAACCTACATATAGCTTTTACATGGTTTATGGGGCACTGCTGGTCTTAGTCCGCCCAGTGGCCAGCTTTCCCAGTCAAAGGGCTTTCGCGGATTTTATCGGTACTCCATTGAAGTTCACCTGCTGAACTTTAAACGCATTAAGGTCGGTTAAACGCAATAATGAGCTGGTCAGAATCAATTAACGTACATCTGCCGATAAGCACATGTTGCCTGCGATACGCATCTTGAAGAGTTACAAAAAGCTGGTAAAAGCTACATTAAAACAAACAGACAACAATACATCTCGACCGCCTATAAAAAATAAGCAGATAAAATAGATATTTTTTCATAGAGATGTATTTTTTATAGAGTAATTGCCTTAATATATGCATTGTAGTTGTAAGTTGTAAGTAGAACAATGAATAGTTCACTTATCGTAGCTGTATAAGGTGTGCCATGGTAGCTGTCGTAAGCCTTTGCGTTTGACTGATTCAAACCAACGACAACGGATACCTTTCATAACGGTGACTACGTAAACAGATGAGTGAACGTCGGGTATTCTTGTCAGCGTGGAGAACGAGATGGAAAATGAGATTAGATTATTCGGTAAATGACGGGGGCCAGTACGGAACGTAGAAGATAAATGTGTTCGTCGCATTTGTTGGAATTACATCAAAGAGGGTAATGAATCCGTTACCAATGAAAGCTACTTTTATCTGTTTTGTTGCTGGTTTATTATTGAACGCAAAACGCTTTTTATTTACCCTACATTCGTAGAGAAAGATCATAGAAACTATTTTCGTAGTTCGATACTTTACTTTTCTAAAAGAAAATTTTCACATAACGCACTGGTTGCATTTTTTGTATATGCACAGAAAGCTGAGGTGATCGAATCGTGTCCTCGTAAAAAAAGTTCAAGGTGTTCTCTCTACTCTACAAGCAGCTGTTTGCACATGCATTATTGATCTCCAAGTGAACCAGCGTCTGAGGCAGTGAAACTGTCTGTTCGGTCCGTAAATGTAACGGAAGTAAACACTTTCGTATCTCTAATATGGGTCTATCGACAAAAGACGGGAAGAACTCGAAAAATAGATATTGTTAGCTGTGAATAATGTTAATACAAGCGCATCAGTTTGCTTGTTAATCGCACATGTTATTTTTAAGAGAGCTTTTGCTTTCTAGCGTTTCGTCGGACCTGCATGTACCTCCCAGGACCTTCTTACCATTCTGCGAGATAATTCGCCTTATTGTAACGTGTATATATATATATATACTGAGATGATGATGCACATTAGCCAACTCTTTTGTTCATAGAGAACATGATAAAAGGTAGCATTTATTTGACAAGTTTGTAGTCGTCCTTCAGCCAATTAGTTATTAGCTTTCAATCAACTTGATACTGTAAAGTTTGTTTTTTTAATTAACGAGCTTCGCGTTTGGTGTGTTTTTTAATAATTTTTATCAATCAGCCACCTAATGCATTGATGATAATTTCCCTCAGGCTATCCGTGTGTTGGAACTGTTTCTGGCGAAACTTATTATGTTCACGATCGTTGTTTCCCTGCAAGAGCGTAGGTGTGCTTCAATGGCCTACGCTTATCGTTGCATGTGATAGAATTTTTAATTTCAAAAGCTGTCGCCCGATACCGTCAACTGTTCACAAGACGCTAATCTCAAATAATACATAATATTAATAAGGGTTCGCTAAAGGTTGCTGGCATTTTTTAATGATAATGGGTGTGTCGTGTGAGTGTAACCCTCTAGATTTACTGAAAGTGTAGAGCGGCATTGCGCCAAACGCGCCAGGTAACGTTAGAAACGCTTACGAAACAATGTTATTGGAGAGCTCTAAAAAAAAAAAGTCACACTTGGCCAATCGCGTTGCGCAAATACACGTCGTAGCCATTGTGTACAATAGTTTATTCTAGACCAGGATGAATCCTCTGATCTGTTATAAAAGGACAGCAGGATGTACGTGTCATTGAGTCAGTTGCCTATTTAAGCGGGACATACGAGACACATGCAGGATGGAGTTCGGCCGAGAACGACTTTGCGGTCGCGGTAACAGCACGATTAACTATTCCACAATCATAGCGGCCTAAAAATATTACAGATTATACAAAGTTACACCATAAAGCAACTTATATATTTATCCTTTTTCTTTTGTGATCAGTTAGTTTATTATTTAGATATGCTGACTTTAGCACAGAATGATTGCCAAATCTATAGTATAATCAATAATCGTTTCGAGCGTGTACTAAACTTCTATTAAAGCTTGAGATAAGAGCTAAGGATTTAAGCGTTACGTGCGACTGGTGAACTGGTATCGTAGAATAATGTTTTAAGAGGCTGGAACTAGTTCAGCTAGTCGTTGCACAGTGAAACCTTTATTTTTGACATTATTATGATGTAATGAACGGGTGCTAAGTTTTTCGCACTTTGTTTGTCCGCTGATAAGGACGTTATGTTCGGTCTTAAAGTTAGAAGTCGACCTAATTGTGTGTTCATTCCAGGTTTAATGGTAGGAGCCATTATCCGCTATGCCAGTGATGAAAAGGAAACTAGTCACCTGTTAGTGATGCCTGTCGGGAACGATAGTAATCAGTCAATGCCGAGCTCCCCTCCGGACAATGTTTTTATTCAGCTAGAGGTCCAAAGACCGCCCGACGCTAGCAAGGTTAGTCGGATGCACCAATGAAAAAAAAAGCCGATTGTAATAAATATTGATATATTGTACAGTGCAAGCTAAATATGTATCAGCATTCACTGATACGCCTTAACAATGATTCGTACGATCTTAAAAAGAATAAAACAAATAAAATTCGGTATATGAAGAGCGTATAATAATTTTGATCTTCACAGTCTTCTGCAGACGCGAACAAACTTCGCCTTTATGCCTAGTGTACAAAGTGTCGGCCTAGTACCGTTCACAAGGGATTTGTTACAACTTTAGGCTTGTTTCTGTGTTTGAATTGCTGTGTTGCCCCACTGAAAAACAGGTTATCGGTTCGATCTAGCTTTGAAAGAACGGTATTGTACCATCTATAAGCAATTCCCAAATCGTAGAATGAAGGTGCTGCCTCTTTATATATGAACACTTACATTTGAAAGGCAAACTTTAACCAATGTTACGCCTTTGGCATGCAAAAAATGGCTTAAACGAAGCTAGAAACTCTCAAGTACTCATCAAAGACTGAGGGACAGGTCAAAAGTATTTTGTAATAGATGTAAACAGAGGCTGGCTTGAAGTAATTTCTATGGGCTAGGACAACTGATATATATCATCAAGATAATTTGTTTAGAAACCAAGTAGTAAAGCCCCTATACACTTACTGTACATGCGCCACTAAGTAGAAACCAAACTCTTCAATAAGATCATTTTATTTGCTTTTTTTTCTGCTATTAAATGCGGATCTCCATTTTCCGCCTAAGCATTTTGTTAAATATGTACAATATATAGTGTATGCTTGCTTACTTGTACTCATTTGGTAGACAATTCTGTTTTGTCTGGAATAGGAGAATCGCTCGTACGCCTATTACGCATATACTTTCCGAGGAGAGCTTACCGACGTAATGACGAAAAAATTAGACCAGAAAGCAACGTTCGATCCGGAAATCTTTTTCAACATTATCCTACCGCCCATTATATTCAATGCTGGATACAGCCTAAAACGAGTGAGTAATCTTCCATTCAAGGCTGCCCAAAGAGTGTTTTTATTGAAGTTGCTGATATGGTATCAGCTTACCATATTCAAATAACATGCTTGATCTGATCGAGCGGGTGCAGTCTGCCTATAATACAGATTATATGAATAGGTCACAGATTGCCAACGAAACCTGCCAAACCGATAATGGCGCTGTCAAATTTTGTCTTTTTTTGCTTATTTCAGAAATTTTTCTTTCGAAACCTTGGAACAATAATGACTTACGCATTTTTTGGTACAACGATATCCTGTTTCGTGGTCGGGTAAGTTTATTCGACGCCGTTATCTTAGTTACAGTCATCATAATAAGACCAGATACGTAAGTCTCCCTAGATACGTGCGCGAAATAACGATTTTATCGAAGACGGGGAAAAAAAAACTCCCTGTCGATGTTATGCAATCGTGCGGTGCTTCCAACTTCGCTACATATTAAGGAGATTTATTATTATATATTAAGGTGATTAGACAAATGAGCCGATGAGCGACTACGTTGTTTACGTACCCCGTTCTGCCTTTCGAGGTCACTTCAAGTTAGAATGTAGAAGCAGGAAAATGATCAGCATATATTTCACGCAGAAGGTCTTAACATGCTGGCTGTGGCCCTCAATAGTAGAGAAAATTGGCCAAAGCAAACGAGTGTTTCGATATTGATACAATAAGCCTAACTACTATTATTAAGCATGAATTAATATTTAGATAAATTAGAATGACTAACGAGTGTTCTGTGAATATTTGTTAGGTTATCGTAAAGGCAAAGTGTTACTTTAAACTGTGGTGATATAACGGGAAATCGGAATTACGTTCATTTTTTATGCGATCAACTGGGTTCCTTTGATGCTTTTATAGATGCGTACTATACGTGTTCACGTTGATGCTCTCTCATCTGGAATTCACATTCAACCATTGCCTCTACTTTGGGGCGATCATCTCGGCCACTGACCCAGTTACTGTTCTTGCAATTTTCCACGATCTACACGTTGATGTCAACCTTTACGCCCTGGTATTCGGCGAAAGTATACTCAATGATGCTGTGGCCATTGGGCTGGTCGTGTAAGTGAAGCAAATGATATGGTGCTACCATAGGTAGTATGTGGTGTATATAACATTCAAACTAGGCCCACTTTCAGCCTAGTTGACTGTTGTTTTGCCTTTGTTGTTGTCGTTATGCGGTGTTTGCAGCGCAATCACTAACTACGAAGCTGTGAGTAGCAAGGCTACAGGTGAATTCGAGCTAGCTGCAGCTATTAGAGCGTTCGGCTCATTTTTCTACATTTTCGCCTTTTCGTTTCTCATCGGAAGCTGTACGGGCTGCGTGACTGCCCTCATCACGAAATTCACAAAGCTGTGCGACTTCCCATTACTAGAAAGTTGCCTCTTCCTGCTGATGTCGTATTCGTCATTTCTGGTAGCGGAAGCGCTTGACCTGACAGGTATCGTAGCCGTCCTCTTCTGCGGGATCTGTCAAGCTCACTATACATACAATAATTTGTCGCCAGAAAGTCGACAACGAACGAAACAGCTGTTCGAGCTAATGAACTTTGTAGCGGAAAACTTTATTTTCTCATACATCGGCGTCAGTATGTTTACTTATAAAAAGCATCATTGGGATTTGTTCTTCATTGTCGCTGCCTTCATTTCGATTGCGGCTGGCCGAGCCCTATTCGTCTATCCGTTGACGTTCCTTCTAAATCTTGGCCGGACCAACAAGATTCCGATGGCGTTTCAGCACGTGCTCTTCTTTTCGGGTCAGTGTTGTTATTATTATGTTTATTAAAATGGAAAGCGACTACTAAAAACATCGTTTGTACGAAACCCATGCGTTGCATGCTATTCTAGAGCATAATGCCTTGACACATGATGTTTGATGCTTTATTCAGTTGAACTACGTCGTTTCCGTATTCAGGTCTTCGAGGAGCGATGGCTTTTGCTCTCGCGATCCGAAATACGCTGGGTCTTCAGCGTCACGTCATGCTGACAACGACATCGTTTATTGTGATCGTTTCTGTCGTCGTATGCGGCGGTTCAACTTCAACGTTGCTGCGTTGGTTAAACATTCCAGTGGGCTCTGAGGATCACGATCAGGAGCTGCTTAATATAACGGCAGCAGCAGCTGCCGCCCACGCCGCACAAGCTCAGCAGGGCGGTGCCTCTAATCGGCCAGGTGATCCTCGAAGCCCTACCAGCGGCGAACCTTTGAAGAGTCCGCCGTACGAAAAGGCGTGGCTTGTACGCAAATGGTATAACTTTGATGTCAGGTACGGATCAAGTATGTTTTCCATAGATGAAATATGTCGCGATTCAACTATATGTAACATTTCAGTCAACTTGTAAGACAATCGTCATCTTTTTACGAAATTTTGTTACAAAATATGTTAGAGTGACTCCTTAAGTCAGTGGCTGAGCTAATAACGGACAATGGTCATTGACATTGATACGGTTAAAAAACTACTTTCATCTATTTTTCTAGATTTTATTTTTCCATTCTCCGTACATGCCCGATACATATATATATAGATAGATATATATATATATATATATACATACATCAGGCACGATCTAACGCGTTAATACGGTATCACTATTCCCGTTTATTTTTATTCTTTTTTCCCGGCTTCTACCGAAGTATTTTAGTCTTAACCTTAGTTTTTTATTTGTGCCTGTGCAATAATAATAGGTTCATGAAGCCATTCCTGACACATAGTCGTCCAACGCTCATTGAGACTCTGCCGTCATGTTGTCTGCCCGTAGCCCATCTCTTAACCTCTACAGAGCAGCTCACACAGGTTTGTCAAATAGACATTTCATTTTAGGGGTTTTCAGTTACCAAACCGGACATGCAGATTGTACTGATTCATTAATTATTTCTCGGCAAAGTAATACAACATTATTTTGGTGTGGTTATTTTATTCAGGGAAATTGAGGCGACATACATAAAGCCAATATCTAGCCGAACGTGACGCAAAAAAAATGCTTGTCAGGCTTTTCAGCAGAACTTGAATCTAATTTTACGTAGTACACAAAACGAACAAGAGTTTTTTGATAAATGTATATTTTTGAATTGGTATTTGAGAGCCTTAGATACCTACAAGTGCTCTGTAGTGCATATTTTTTCTACCATTTTTTATACCATGCTATCGTTATTATCTTATATCTGCTATACTGCAACGCGTAATTTGTTGTGTTTGTGATATACGGACATATTTTTTATATATCTGTAATACAAAGCTGTTATTTTAAGAGTATTATCCGCCAATAAGTTACGTTCTTTACGAGTTATATGCATACACAAGTGGTCAAGTGTATTCATTCTATCGTACATTTTTTTTATTTGCAAGTAAAATTTTATTTTTGCTTGTATCTCATTCTTTATTGGACGGCAAATATGTCGTAGCATGAGCATGTCTGGTTAATTCATTCATTAAAGTAACTTGGTATCTAATTAGGCCAATGATCAAGATACTTTCTTCCTGCATTCAGCCTTTTCTAAGGATTTCTGCCCTTTGTTTACTTCTTCACCAGAAGTCCACAACTAACGACTCTAAGTGCGAACTTTTCTTCAGTTGTTGTCACCTGTCGTAAATGTCGACAGTATGACAGGCGATAAGCGCGAGATTGATCAATGAAACTTATACTTAATAATATTTCACATCTGACTGACAATTAACCGTGTTCCTTGTCGTGCGGTTGCTGATGCCTGTTATCTTGACGGTAATTAACAATTGTATAAAATTGTTTTTTGCATGGCATATTGATAATAAGACTATGATTTATTAGATGTCAACGTGACAATGTTTCGCTGATGATGACATGAGTTGACCACATTTTACCTACTTGAACGAGTGATGACTCCAAGCGCACAATGACGTTGTTTCTAGCTGCCGTCTCGGGAACGCTAGTAAATAGGGTAGTTGTTGACTTCAGAGAGTGCCAAGTGACACACACTCTCCGTCACACGAGTACCGTCGAACTGGACTTCGTGGACAAACGACAGGTTATAACATACACGTAGTTCGGCATTACCGGACCAAAACAAAAAGATACTGATGCCCATGATCTGAACACAATGGTGAGAAGATGAGTGCTAGAGGTTATGAATGGCATTTCAAAACATTCTATCGGTTCCGGACAACATCTGCATGCAGGCGTGCAATTGAGTGTGTACGTGCGTACCAGAATGAGTAAGGAAACATAGCGCTCGGGGTACAACAATGATGCGTATGAAGCAAACCAGCGAAAGCGTACTTTCCGCTGATTTCGTGATAGATTAGATGTATGCAAGGGCTGATCTGATTAAAAAAAATGGGGGACGTAAAGATGGAATACGATGTCGGATCGTAAACTGACCGAATTGTTGAGCTTTCCGTCATTTGCTGTGAGGGCCGCCTGGTAAACACAAACGTAGAGTGTTTTTGAAACGCCATTTGCATTGAACTCGACAGACCAACCATAAATTTATTTTACCCCTAACCGGTTTGAGCTTCTGCGATCTGACTCGATGTTTTTCTGTTCTATTGTGCTAGTCTATGACATATTCTACAGTGTCACTGGTCGATATTTCTGCCAAGAGTCTCGCACAAGGTGGCGTTACTTACGTTGGCTTATACAACGATGTCCCACACTATCCGGTGTAGTCCTTTAACTACTAAAAGACCAAAGAAAGACGCATACCAGTCATGCAAGTCTAATGTTCGGCTAGCCAGTACTTGTTTTGAATATTGCGAAATGGGAAATGTATCAGTGCCTATATTTGTGGCAAGAAAACTCGATCTGTCTTAATTGAGTAAGTAATTTTTTCTTCTTTACAAATGTATTATGTTTATTTATTCATTATGCTGTGTTTATAGACAAACAAATGTTGCGACTGGTGTGACGTTGTTCTATATGCGATGTAAATAAACGAGTGGTTCATCCGTTCCGCGTTCTTTATGTATGTGCATGCAGTTAGCAATGTACCGCTATCCTGGATATCGCATGGCGTGGTTTTTGCGGTTAATATTTATGGAGCGTATTTTTTTCGTAATTGATGTTTTTACGTAGACGCGTTTTTTGGCATTTTCTTGAGATGATTTTTCTTCGTTTTGCTTAGCTGGTCAGTTAATGTTATGTGGTGCCTGTTTTTGGTCTATTATCAGAACTGGCGTTCTGTTCAACCGTGTATCTTTTCGGTGAGTAACGTTTTTTTCTATTTTCTTAATAACAAATATACCATAAACGATAGTATAGAATAATAGAAGTTGGCGTTATCATCTAGGCGCAGTGATTTTACCTTTTATTTATTTACCATCTATCCTATAGTAATTGGAACATTGTTTTTCTTGACTGTTTAATTTTAGTTTGCTTGGTTAGTATTTGAAGTAAATTCATGAACTTTTCAACTTTATAGATACTTTCAAAACTTAGTTATTAATAACTAACTCTCAAAACTCCGTCCCAAGCTACGATAGCCCATTTTATAAAGTCAACTAAAGTCTATACAGAACAATAGACTTTGAAATTATGATCACCAATCGATAACACCGCTTTTAAGGCACTTATCTTGACTGAGCTTGGGTGTGGCCCCACCGCATCACCGCCTATTGAGTACAGTACCAAAATGGCGAAAGCAAACCCATGCCCTGCATCTTATGCAGGGCATGCTGAAGTTTTAAATTCCATTCTGCATATTAGCGGTTGCATTAGGAATAACAGTAATATACTACTTGTGCTATAATATTAATTGATCCATTTGGATCTACGGATTTTTTGTCAGCATAAGTCGAAATTTTCGCCATTTTGATAGCGCACTGTAGACGTGCAGGAAAACAACAGTTGGCATTTGCCACGTTGAAAACAAAAACAGCAAATATATATATATATATATATGTATGTAAATACATGTATATATACATATATGAAAATATATGTATATAAATTATGGCATGTCATTCACATGCACACTAAACAAAATAACTGATTTCCTTTTTTCTGCGCTCTCTTTTACTGTGTCTCCTTTCCTGCTCTGGCTGATTTGGGCGAAACAAACGCATCATTTTTAATCATAAATCACCACATGCCGGAATCACTTGTGCGGCATGGTGCGCGGGCTTTATTCTACAACGTCTTTTTGAACAAACAACTTTGAACCAAATCTCCGCTTTCCACGTGTTCACCGTATATACGTGATGGTACTTTGTGCAGGACGACAATTGCCGACACACTCGTGATGACGATTCCGACACGGACCTCTGCCTCGACGAAAGTGACTTCAATTTTGAGCGAAGCAACAGTCTAACACAGGCGTCCCAGGCACTCGCTAACCACGTATACTACATCGAAAAATAAATGAAGTACGAAAACAAAGCGGAATAGGATATACAGTACTTTGAACGTTAAGCGTAATCCAAGAAAATTCGGATCGGACGGTGGTTGTCAAAAGCATGTAGAACATAGCTGCTGACAGATTTATGGGTCGCGTAGAAGGGAAAAACATTTGAACACCGTGGGAGAAGGGGCTATAGTCCCAGTTTCTGTTCACTGTTATAACATATTTGTCCTTCTTTTGCTTGTCCACGATAAGACGCCATAACGCTTATTGAGATACTAATACTCATCTAATAGCATTAGATTTAGTAAGCATTAGAAGAATATTTAATATAATTATTTGATGACAAACGCACGTTAGCCAATCTTTAAACTGCTGTAGAAATAAGCTTCGATCCAGTGAAATAAAATAGGTCTGTTACTCGCTTGGCCTCTAATTTGGCCTGAGAAAACTTAAGACAGAAACATTTCCGTATGAGGTATTGATTTTTTATTTCCTCTCATATCCTTACGTTAAAGATGAAACAAGAGTTTATTAGTAAAGTTGTGGTATCTCGTTGTAGAATTTTGCTGTGGGTCAAATAGCTGATCTGTGTCAAATGGGGCCTCTTTTATAGTTGGGTTACCGCACAGAACCCCCGGAGCGGCGCAACTTCATCACGATTGTGTTGATGTGATGGTAATTAAGACAGACAAACACAGGTACATTTGGAGAAGCATGAAAATTCGAGCTTTCACATGGTGTTTAATTTTCTAACCTTTCACCCATAGCAAACATACTACTGAACTTTTCAGTTGTCTTCTAAATTTGTTCGGCTTAACATGTTACCACACAGTAATTTCGAAGAGCCCAAATATTGCAGTAACACTAACGGTTATAGTTTGCCGTTTGTTTACGACGCCTACCATCCCTGGCGTAAGTCGAAGAGCTGCTCGATCATCTGTGGTTTTCTGTATATACTAATATAAATATAGTCATTATTACAGTATATATACTAAACGACTACGTTTGGCCTGGGACATGGGAATGTACATGTGTAGTGCACACAACTTTCAATACCAGCTATACAATTGTTCTACTGAAAAAAAAACAAAAAAAAAAAAGACAACGATAGGTATCGAAAGAGCTCAGGAGAAAAGTCAATATGGCGTTCAGTCAGAAAAGGCTCGGACTTGTGATCAATCTAAGCTTTAACCTTAAGTCCATATGTTAAGCTATCGCCTTGGCGTCCGACGAGTTATGTCCGCCTTCAGAGAGGTGTCGCAAACTACCTTTGAAGGTTCTAATTTGATGAAGCAATATTTACTATAATAGTAACGCATGAACTGCTATGCGTCCGAAGTTATAGTTAATTTATCGATCTGATCGATATGAAAGGTTTTACATGATAAACCGCAGGAGTAGGAACAGGTTAAATCGGTCTGAATGGTGCGTGTATCAAAATTGCGAAATAGTTATTAAAAAAAAAAAAGGGTGTTGATAGCATTTTTATCGGTGCGCAGCTGGACCATCAGAGGGATTGAGGCCGCATGATTCCAAGGAGTGATAAAGCGAAATAGACAGAGCTGGTTGAGATGTATGAGTGCGTGAGTCTCCGTGCAGGTGGAAAAAAAAAGAAATGATCAGTTGAAAGAATCTCTCTCAAACACCCTCTTTACAGAAGTGTTAAAGGTGGTGCTCAATCGTCGGCCGCCATAGCGACAAACAGAAGCGAATTATAAAGTGTCGTAAAGAATCAATGGCTCTCAGCTGCGTGCGGCTTAGTAGAGTATCAGAGCTGTTGAATCATAATAAACTAGTAGGAAAAGTGTGGAAATATGTACGCTTCTGTCAGAGAAGGCACTCCAACGACCGGAGATAATGCGGATTACAGAAGCACATTACAATTAAGAATACATACTATTGACACGCACACAAATTAATCACTATACAAGAACTAAACGATGTTAGCACGTATAAGCCCATACTGCAAACCCCTAATTGAAGTCATTTTGTCGAGAACCAGCGAAAACACAAACCATATTACCCTGCACTAATGAGATACGTGATAGCAGGTAACTTCATTGCAAGATATTGAAAAAGTTTACGTTCAAGAAAATATATACTCCCTGGGTGGAACTACCGAAGTTATTTAACTATTGTATGTCTCGACAAACTTGGAAGTGTCGGTTGAACGACCCTGCATTGATCAGTTGTCTCGAGGATAACCATGAACAGAATAGATAAGAGCTCACCAATTCTGCTTGCATATCCCTGGGCACCGAGCATCTATCCCTGTTGTTTGTCTTTGCGTGCCCTACTTACTATGCTGGACCCGAGTCGCACAGGCGCCTAAGGCCCACGAGCAGAAATCGTTTCATAGGGTAAATTATAGAAAAGTCTAACTAGTCGTGGGTAGATTGTGACTAAAAAAAAAAATATTCTAAGCCATCAAGAACGCTACTAAAAATACAACAGTGCGAAAAAGAAGGTGTGTCAAGGATCACGAAAATACCGTCCTGTGTTAGCCGCCACCTCAACTCAAAATACGGACGAATATTTTTGTTTCAAAAGTTTGAAAAGACTGCGACTTGCAACCTCTCTTGTCATATTATATGTATTTTTTTAAGCGAACTAAAAAAGGACAACAGATAGAGGAACTATCAGGAAAATTCTCTATTGATTGACGAAATGCATGGTCCACTCGAACTAATCGGCACTGCGTCAACTTCTCGCTTTTTGCTTTATGTAGTAAGAAAGTTTGGCGAGCTGATACCAACAATTTTACTAGTTGACAGCGTAATGAACTGTTATGCAATTAAATAAAACGGAGTCAAAAATAATATGCCATTCATAAAGTACATTATGTGGATCAAGCACGTCGGCAAGCACACATGTACCTAGAGGCTTTGAATTGGGCAAGCTTGCAACCCTCTCCAAAAAGTTATAGGTAGGCGGCGGAGAGTGAGCAGTTATAGGCGATTAAGAGGCCAACGGGATGAAGTAAGGAAGACGATGCAGAATTTATAAAAAAGCGTAGACACTGCTTCTTGTTGTGGCAAATACGCGAACCTCGTAACACGCGGATTCATTGATGCATAGTGATGCAGCTGTCCAAGACGCGAGTTGATCACAGTTTATAAAAGCATGAAAATTAAACTTTATTGAGGCCTGTAGAAGAGTAATCGTGGAATCGATGGGGAAATTAGGAACGGTGGAACGTAACGAGTGACCTAGGCTGAAGTTCACTGAAGCCACTGTGCGTATGTTATGTGAATGTTTTTTAGTATTAATCTGTGACGACTACAGAAATGGTCGAAGTCCACACAACACGAGAATAAGGTTAGCGGCACAGAGCATAAAGCATGTATCATCGTATGCGGGCTATTTTTATATAAAATTTAGCAAAAAACGCAGGTCAAAGAACGGGCAATGGGAAAAGACTGTCGTACGCGAAAGTGACACCGAAGGAAGGTTACTAGAGGAAATGGCCACAAGAGTGATTATATATATATATATATATATATCCTAATGTTACTATTACCATGTCGGTAGTAATGGCAACTACGGTACACCATATGATAGCAGCAATATATCATTAGACAGTGAAATGCCCAACTAATTTGCCCATGTTTACCGTGAACAGAAATGCCCTTACATATATGTTTAATAGTTGCAAAATGATTACAGCCCGAGTGTTGAAAAAGTAAGTGGTGAAAATATTGTTGTTATTGATGTTGCATATCGTAATAATCAAGCACGTTTAGCACCATACGGAAGTTGAGGTAATTCGAAAATTCGCGCTGTACGTAGACAACTGTGTGACAACACAACAAGGTAACGACAGCCTCGTACAGAAAATCAGTGATGACGATAGTGGTGAAGAAGATACTGAAGAAACATTACTAACTTGATTATTATTACCATTGATGATACGACATAGGAAAAAGGCAAGACGAATATGTAATGATTGCTTTGCCGGGCTGGCGTCTAGGTCGGGACTGAATTAGTAGCACCTGCTGTGGCTGAAATAAATGGATTATATACAAGGAAATTATATAAACATCTATATATATATAAGTATATATATAGTATCGTTATTCCTATAGTTCTGATAAGAACATGATTGTTAAAAGCTTTTAGTTATTAATTTATTATGGTTAATATTATGTAACAGCATATGTGGAATGTTTGGGTTTTTTTTCTATATAGAGCTGTGATTAAAGGCTTATTAGAATAAAAAGTAAGCCCACATAAGGCTATTTTTCTCGATAGATATCATCCTAAATATGTTCTAGAGTGGTGAAAAAAAGAAGAAATCGACGGAGATTCCGCTTCTTTCAGAGCAACTTTATAAAATCATGCCAGCACGCACCTCCTATTGAAACTACTCAAAAATCTATTTAATTTTCAGGACGATTCGGCAGACACGCTACCGCTGAAAAATGTACTTAGCGATAGCAGCACCGTGAACAGCCTGGATAGTCTCTTTGTTAAAGGCTCAACATAGTATCCTGCCTGAACGTGTTTGCTCTATCCTTGTCACACATAATTGTAAAAAGTATGTGAGATTGATTTATCCTAGGTAGCTTTTTCACACAGTGCTATAGGGCTGTCGTATTCGTGGCAAGTGTTAGCGATACCTCCATGATGGCTTGTCTTTTGTTAAAATTTTAGTTCGGTACTACAGTTAATTTCGATAGTAAATGATGTTCCCTCACCGACAATTCTATGCAATAGCGCACCGGGTGCAAACGATTTTTTTTGCTAGACTGAGATATTTAGCTAGGTGATTAAAATCTTATCTAATCAATTGGCGCCTAATTAATCTCAACTAGCAACTAATTATAATAAGCTATTATACATACAAACTGCGTTGAAAACAACCGATGAGTGTTTCGTCCGAACGGATACAGAGTTTGTGATAGCCTCTAGTCTAATCTTACGCTAAGAAGGATTATAGTATTGAAAATTCTGCTTAAAATATAAAAATAAACTATTAAAAACATACACTTAGTTGTCGTTTATTTCGTATCGTTTAGTCGTTCTTTTCGGTACAGAAAATAGCAAGAGGTGAAAGGATGAGGGCTTCGTTGTGCAATTTAACGCTCGCTACAAATCATAGAAGTTCCGAGTACGAATTCACAATCGCTGAAGTTAGGCTTTCTCACAGTGCGTTAGGTAGACTTGTCGGCCGAACATTTCGATACTGACGAGTTTGTTTTCGTTGTTTATTTGTTCTGCAAAGTATCGGTTTCACTTAGATGAAAATTCTTTTCGACCATATTTAGCAGCTGAAACCTAGCGGAAATTCATGCCTGACGGTAACCTTATTCTAAATGGTGGTAGTAGTGGAGGTGGTGGTGGTGGTGGTGGTGGCGCTGGTGGTGGTGGCGCTGGTGGCCCAATTAACATGGATAATCCGAATGATAGCTTATACACTTGCCGGTGTATCGGAATGTTTCGTTTCTGGTCCGTCTTGTCTATGTTCGTTGAACGGGAAAAAGAAGAAGAACACAAAGGTAAAGAAGGAAGATTGCGATGTTCATTGTTTATGTGTGTCACGATATTACCAACTTTGACGCTTGATAACGGACACCAGTGTCATCTCTCAAATACACTTTTGCTGGGAGCAGAACACCAATATTCCGCGCTGGGCTCCACAAGGCCGTAGAGAAATACAGCAAATTATCACTATCTCTTGCTCTCTGCTCGTCGAGCAGCGAAAGCGCCCTTTTAAAGATGAAACAAAAAAAAAAAAACTTACTTTTCTTCTTCGACGAAACTAAAGCTTATTTACAACGGTATTCTAGCTTTCGTTTTGTCGTTGGTAGTCAACTAGGTTTTTATCCATGTCGGCATCATCACGACAGTTCTCTAAGTAGAATCTTTCGTCTTTGCGATACTAAGCGCTTTTAAGACGCGGACGTAAAAACAAGTCAATGGAATATTCCACTCTCTACTTCTCTCCCTTACGGCAAACTGTCAGTGGCGTTAGGCGAGCACATTTCCACGACCAGATTTAGTTAGTACGCTATTTTTCCATATATTCGAAGACCTGTAGCGTTGTCGGTGCACGTTTGAAGAAAGTCGTCGAACGTGATAGGAAGCCCTGAGCATGTTCACATGTAGGAGCCTGAAGACAAAGATGTCACGCTGAAACAGCACTCAATTATTTGGTTCGCCAGCTGGTGTTCGGAAACATCTGGTTCTTCTAAGTTTAAAGAAAAGCTCATAGAACGCCATTATGTACAGGTTTGAATAGTGTAAAATATCGTATATCTAAAACATTTGCCAATATTCTTGAAATGATTTGAGGACCGATGACATTGAGAAGATATGTCACATAACCCGATCGAATACTGTGCCCGTGTTACCTGTCATATTGTGTGCTGGAAGCTTCCGAATCTAGGGTTTTAAACGGAATAGCGCCGGTATAGTTCCAAGGAATCACATGAAGCTCGGACGAACCAGTAGACAGTGATGCGTCGCATTGGATTTATTGGAGCTGGGAAAATGACCCAGGCAATTGCGACAGGAATTCTTAACTCTGTGCAAAAAGGTAACTACACCTGCTGAACGGTTGACGCTGTTAGCCTGAGATTTCATATTGGAATCATAGCGGTTATAATAAGAAATGATCGCGAACGAGGTCAGTAACCTTATTTGGTCACTTTATTAAGCCGTGCTTTTGGAATCTTCGCTTGCTAGGGCCAGACTATCGTGGCAATCAGTATAGCTAAAGTAGGTAACCTCAAAAGATAGAGGCATATCATGTGTCTTTTTATTCTAAATCGTATCAAGTTTTCATGAAACGAACAGATTTCAGCTGCCGCTAACCTTAGACCGTTAAAAAGTTGCGTATACCAGGCAATAAAAACTCTAATGTAAACATCTTATATAGCAGCGTGCCGAAGAGCATAAATGAAAATGTTTCGCAACCATCCAACGTGTGCGATGTAATGATACACTAGCCTTTGGTAAAAATAATTTCGTCACTTATTATGGAAATTAGAATTTCTGGCCAAGTATTGGCTTAGATGTTTCGAGTCTTCCACTTGTACCGGCAATAGAATTAACTAGGGCTGTGTAAGGCTGCCTTGCAACTAAACCACACCCGCACCTCGTTGTTTATATGCTCCTGTATAACGGGTGAGTGCGGAAGGCAACTAAAACGAATTTCGGCACAAAGAGGAAATTTTGGTATCCTAAAGGGAAATAGCTATAAATAAATGACGATACAATTTCTGTTGTCGCATCTTTTGACAGCGAATTCGATGAAGCTTGTTGCATCCTGTCCTGACGAAGATTTTCTTAAGGAACTGCCTGCTGGATGTCGGGGTATCCGTGACAATTTAGAGGCGGTATCATCGAGCGATCTTGTTTTTCTAGCGGTGAAGCCCTGCGTCGTGCGAAATGTGCTTGACGAAGTGCGGCCTTGCATTAAGCCTGGAACCCACACCGTTATATCCATCGCAGCCGGCGTTACGCTCAAAAGCATTAGTGAAGTGAGTGCATGTTAGATAACTGATATTAAACACTTTATTTCCACAGAATACTTGCCAAGCCTGCGTATGTGTCTTTATCAGACGCTACTTGCTCTACCTGGCATACACTCAGAGATAAATCAAGCTCCTTTCAATGTACTGCCACTTAATCTACGCAGCCGGTTCCTGCCCGCTACGTACTCAAGGACTCGTGATATGTTCCCATGAACCTTACAATGCTCCTAAAAGATTACAAAAAACCCTGAGGTAAACATTTTCGACATGCGTTGTGTCCATACGATGACGCAGGTGTCGTCGTCGTCAGGTAGTGAAACTGGCTTATACTTATCCCGTGCTTCTGAGCACAATAAAAGTACAGGCGCAAACAGGGCAGCGGATATAAACTCGTACACAAAGGTTCTATCCATGATATTAGCTATTCAACGGCTTGGCAAACAAAGAAAAGATTTTTCTTTTGAGAGGGAAAATGTTGCTGGTAAATCATCAATGCGTATGGCGCGCCTGCGAGCTCGTGGCTTGTTTGGTAGCGTCCAAGGAGACTTCGGCATAGGAAGTCGCAAGGTATTCCAGGCCGGAAGGACCAAAGGGTTTTGCAAGATTTTTCTACAGTGATTATATATACCGACATAAGTTAAGTCTCAAGTCACTAAAAATTTTACGGGTTTTATGTTTTTTTTCATAAGCATAAATTGATCTGAGGTCCAAATATTTAAGTCACTTTAGATTGTTGGTAGAGTTATATAATTTTAAGTTGACTTTTTCAGCGCCTTCCTAGGGGCACCCGCGTGATTCGCGCCATGCCCAATATTACATCGTTGGCGTTGGAGGGTACTACAGTGTACTTCAGTAATGATGAGTCGGAAAAGGTGGATCAGTTAATTAGAGACACCCTTGGACTCGTGTCACCCTTTTGTGAAAGAGTTGCGAGTGAAGAGCTTCTTGATGCAGCCACAGCTGTAGCGGGGAGTGGGCCGGCCTTCGTTCTTCTCGTGGTGGAAGCTCTCGCCGACGCAGCCGTTCGTAGTGGATTTGCAAGAGGAATTGCCATACGAATTGCCACGCAAACAGTCCTGGTATACAACAGAGCGTCAGAGCCATATGGATTTTGCAAAAAGATCGAAAAAATACATAAAGACATTTTCAAACAATCAAATATCACCTTAAATAACTATTATTAAATACTACGGTGATGGTTGAAGCACTAGTGAGGTTGGTATCACAAGCCAATTTTGCGTAAGCCGCATGTTCGAATTTGGACGGTCATGCAGTGCATGAATACTGTAACGTCCTGCCCGCACTTTTACGGTTCACGCAGTAGCATCCAAAAAAAGACTTCAGAGCTGAAAGTTGCCAGGTTTCGAAAGCCCAAAAAAATTGCTATCAACCATCATATTCTATTATGAAGCTTAACATAGCATAAACTATCGTATACAGTCTGTGGCTGTCACGAGACGTGAAAAAGTCATAAGAAAATCACAATTTCGCTCATACTGTAGAAATCAAGCAAGTAATCTAACATATATAGAAACCTAATATCGATCGTCTCATTTATTTAGGGGGCGGCAGCCCTATGTCGACACACTGGACTGCATCCTGCGTTACTACGTGATGCAGTGACCTCCCCTGGGGGTACCACTGCAGAAGGACTATTGGCGCTTGAAAAATTTGCTGTTCGCGCTGCGTTCCTGGACGCGGTCCAGAAAGCTATTAAGCGCAGTAATGAACTGCGTTAGGATTGCGTGCACAAATAGCGTTCTGTTATACCAACCTAAATTACCCGATGCGTGATTTTCAGTGTTATCATCGACTCATTCTACTTTGTCTTTGATCAACTCTGGCTCGATCGAGGTCAAGGCGTTATTTATATAAATAATAAGTTTTTTCCTCATACCGAAATGTTACAAGTGTAATACACAGATTAAACATAATCTGTAAAACATGAACATAGAAAATGCGTTTAATGAAGTCAGGTAGTTCAGGCTGTGTGGAGTCGGCAGTCGTAAGCTTGTGTCATTACGAAGCTCGAACGGAACGATGTTATGCTTTCATTGAGCGCCTCAGAACGAGACATGTGCATCGTTTCTATAGAAGCACCTTGAAGAATCTGAATGACGCCTGCGGAGATTCATCAGAGATTGTCTCACTCAAAGAGTACGAGACACGAGTCGGAAGAAGGTATCACTTCAAAAACGACACAAGCTAAATAAACTATTTAATTCGTTTATGGTTCGATAATTATTCACGACTCATTCTCTCCGTATAGGTACATTCAGGATCCTTGAATAACGAAAGACTACCACAAATTAGCCAGTCCACTTATAAAAGCTAAAAATCTTACTTTCTGAACCCGATCACAAAGGCATTGTCCTGAATCTACCAAAAGCCAGTGTAATCCGTAGAGTTTGTCCCTTTGATGATGATGCAGTGGTAAAATGTTTACGTAATAAACTTAGGGGTACCTAGGTGCAAAACCGAACGTAGGCAAATACACTTCATTTCATGATACGGAATCAGTAATCTAAAGCAATGCCTAATAACAATATTGGACATAAAACTCTATTTGATTTAAAAAAAACAACCTGTTATTAGTAACACTAGTACATTTGATAGAACATTTATTCATTTATGCAAATAAAGAAAAAAGATATTCAATGCGGTTTACAAAAGGCTTTTCAGGCCCAGATCGCCATCTAGTGCCTAGTAGCTGTTTACCTTTTTTCATGTCATTGTGGGGGACTCGATCATGTGACCTAGACACTATTATAATAGCTAGCGCTTGCTCCGTGATGGTGATCGGGTCGAGATTTGGTTTCAGATGCACTATGAGACATGAAGACAGGAACGTGAAGCTCTGAATCCTCTGGTCCTCGCAACGAGTGGATACATACAAAAGAGATGTAATGGACTTTATTTTAGTCTATCGGACGGGGTTTAGGGGACGTTGCACAGTAGAAGAGAAGGAGTAGTGGCATGTGTAGGAAAATCAGAAATGGGGACATCATCTGAAGCTGCTGGCGAATTAACCGGATATCAGAGAGCGAGTTTTCGTTCATCAAACTGGCATTGTTGTCACAGTTGACTAGTCTACGTACAAAACTGTGCGATTTTTCGATCGCCGACAGTACCATTGTAAACCACTACATCCGTTCATTACTTATAAAATTAAAAGAAAAACTCGTGTGTTTTTTTCTACACTGAAAATACACACTAAAATTGTTTTCCCGCCTAAATTATCTAAAAAAAAGTTCAGAGATTTAATAAGATCTAGGTATTTGTCAAGCTAGAGTCCACGTCCATAGAAAACATGAAGCTACCAATGCAACTCTCATGCACTTTCTCAGTTCTTCATTCAGAGGTCGACATTTTCTTATTTAGTAGAACTATTGAAGACCAACTATATCCGGTCTTTTCGCCACTTTCGACTTCATACTGCTTTTAACATAGGCAGGGAGGGACTCAATGGGATCCCCGCGATGAAAATCTCTTTCGATCATCTCTCTCGTCCGAATTGGTCCCCCAGCTTCGCTGCTGCTAAGGACGCTCTTCGATCACCTTCCTGTCGAGTCGGAGACCTTTCCTTGGTTTTCACACACCCTCTCTATTCCGGTTATTCTCTAACACGCGCTCCTCAATTTTCCTGCTATCGTTTCTTATCCGACTGTCAGCGCCGAATTACTTTATTTCTGTTTCTCGCCGTCGTTGTCACTATGTGCTTGTGGGTTCGTCTCGCGCCGCTGTGGGACGCCTCTACAGCAGCTTTCATATCCCTGAAATCCACTTTGTAGCCCCACTGGAGCCGTGTGTCCTGGACGCCAATGAGGCCGACGCCGAGCGCCAGTCAACTCGCGGCGAACGAACCACCAATAGCCCGGCGATGACAGCTGGCGCTGCTAGCTCACAACGACTTCATTAGCTGCAATCTCTAAGACTCCGACAAAGACCCGGACTCCACGGGAGCGCTAGCATAGAGTTGCCACTCAGACGGAGCGCCCTGACAGAGCGACGCAGGCAGTGCTCCCGTCGACCGCACTTCGTGTGCGGCAGTTTAACGACGACATCATCGAATGGCGAGCACACGATTCGGGCCTATAGTCAAGCGAAACGTGATATCTTCGCGAAGTCGATAACGACTTACTTAGAGGCTAAGACAAAAAGCCAAGAGGCAGTTGCACCATTACATTCGCGACAAAGACTATTTACCGTCATCAATACCGATATTATTCTGTCACTGGAATAACGTTGTGTGCATTTCATGTGTGTTAAATTTTTGTTAAATTAAATGTGTATGATTTTTGCATCGAAGAACGCAGTGATTATGGTGTGCTTAAAGGGTTCACCTATTCGCTTCAGGAGGATAAATGCTATGTGAGAAAAAAAACGTTAGCAAAATAAAAGAAGTACGAATGAAATCTATAGACGACGTTGTTTTCATGCTACGAGGACGTTGTCGTAATGAAACCGTCGAAGCTCCTCCTGATACAGGTGGATTCTGATGGAACAACGTTTTACCACTGCAAATTTTGTGACTACAGAAGCAAGAATCATACCAACGCCAAGGTGCATCAGGTATGTTACCTAGCCACCTTTATAAGGGTTTCTAGCCTGATAACCTATTCAATAAAAATCTATTCGGCAGGCATGACGTCTTAAGAGCGCATTCACTGTTGATGATGATCGGATCTTAAACGTAACTACATTAAATACTCTGTTATAAGTTTTTAACGTAATAACATTGTTATGCCCCTAGCAAAGGCGGCTCCGTATAGTCATAAGTTTGTGGTCGTTCTTCAAATGTCGACCTGTAATTTTACAACCATGCATTGACTCAAAACGCTAAATAAAAAACGCAAACTAACCCTTCAGCTGGCCTTTATAAGTCCTTAAGACTCATGCCCAGGACCAAGTTCTTAAGAGATTGAAGTCCGTTTATGCTTTTTTTACCTTTCACTGAGCGATATGATATGAATTATTTTACATACGTTTCGTGAACGCTGCAATTAACTTTTTTTCAAAACAATACAATATATAATAAGTGAACATATAGCTACGAGAAAAGTTTATTTAAGCATAAAATATCTTCTGAACAAGAAAAATAATCCTATCCATAACGCTATCTGTTTACAGTTTGAAAAAGCTATTCATTCCTAAGTAAAACGTCATGTTTCCCTCATCGAAGGTCAGAGTGAATCGTATGCCAAATTAACTGTGATTCATACGACAAATGATATGATGATTTGTATGGAATTGTTGTCCTAGGCGATATGCAACAAACTTTCGATACTGATGAATATTATAGACCAGGCGAAATTTTCCTGCAATCACGAGCATTAATTTCATCCAATTCAATTTTCTCTTGTTAATGGCTATAGCGCATTCACTCAAACCACCGACCACACGCGTGTGATTCCTGTCAGTACGCTTCCAACTCGGCATCCAACCTGAAAAAGCATCTCCTTCAACACACGAACGTAACTTTCACATGCACCCACTGCTCATACGCCACCAAATCAAAGCAATATCTAAAGAAGCACATGAAATCGCATACAGCCACTCGTCCTTCGCTAAGTTCCCCAACAAACATTGTTTCCTCAAACGATAACTGCGGCGCAATTAAAAACAATAATAATAATAACAACCATATTGTTGATGTTTTCTGGTGTGCTCTCTGCCACCTTTACGAAGTGCCCGAACGCGTCGAAGGTACGTAAGTTATACGATACCAGATGAACTAGCAACAATATGAGACTTGTAGAAATAGGCAGTATGATTTCAGTTTTATCAAACATTGTCAATTTACGATCGAGCGAAGTCGAAACGAGGCACTGGCCTTTGTTTCATTTCATATGCCACGCAAATATTGTATTGTAATTATTGAATTTTAGCTATCGCGTGCGTGACTCAATTCTGAACTTGTGGATGGATTTCTTTTTTCGCCAATAGATCACCTCTGTTCAAGCAGACACTTATCGATGTTGTCGAAATTCCCACATCGATGTGGACAATGTGAAGCGGGTTTCTTTGAAAGTACAAGTCTGAATATTCATCGACAAGTGGCTCATCCTTCGGAATCAATCTCGGTCGGGAGCGCTACTTCGGGATCTCTGTGTTTGACCAGGTCTCTTCATTGTCCTCGCTGCAGCTTTTCTACTATATCGTCAATTCTGCTTGAGGCACACGAAAGGTTGGTTTCGGCTCATGTCTTGATTTAGACATAGCTCAGTTACCGAAATGTATATATCACTGATTCGTTTATTGTTTATTTCCCGTAACAGGCTGCTCACACCTATTGTTGTGTAGAGTTGCCCGACCTTGCAGGCAGTATTAGCGCAACGTTGACGTTGTTCATCTTCTCCTATTCCAGCGTGATTCACGGAACATCTCCATCGTTCGCATGCGACTGGTGCGGTCAGAAATTCCTACTCGAGGCGAGTCAACGAGAACATGTCCTTCAACGCCTTCTGCTTCAAACAGTCGAGCGGCGCGCGCGATTGGCGTGCTCGTTCTGTCTCAAAGTATTTCAGCACAAAGATGTCGTCCGAAAACACGAGGCTGAGGTACTTCACCAAGCAGCGCTATTTTTTTCACTTCAAGACGAGACGGTTTCCTTGCTGTGCCAAATGTATCGAGCATTCGGAAGCATGCGTAAAAAAAGGCTTACTAAATTATAGACGTTTTTTTATTAACAAGAAAAAACACTGCATATTTTAGAGGACATTTTTCATTCGTCTCCTAAGAATGATGCGTGTATCAGAGATATTCAGAAGCACGATAAGTATAGCATCGCTTGACAGGGAAGTACGATACGATGTCTTTTACTGTGGTAGATACTTGTATATATATATATGAACTTTATGAATAAATGACAACTGAAGGCATATTATATGAGTATATATTATTAACTCGCATTGTGCTTATAGGTCATATCGAGAAACTTTCTAAAAATATATATATACACACAATATAAACAGTATTTGTGTATACAATTGTAGGAACATTCCGAGATTTCGAGTGCAGACCGCATCCGCTGCTGTGTATGTCGACGGATCTTTCGAACGAAAAAATCACATCGGGAGCATTTCTGTAGAAAACGAAACCATGAGGAGCCCCCACTGCACTGCACAGCTCCGACTGTTTCATCTACAGGGAGATAATTTGAATAAAGTTTAGGAAAAATCTGATACCAGTACAATATGAGTCTCTGTAGCCACTGTTTGAGTATTTATAAAATTATGAAAATGTGTAGATATGATGATGTCTTTATTATAGATATTACGAAAGAAACAATCGAAAAACGCATTAATTGCCCTATGTTGACATAGGTACCCTAATCAAGCGGTTTGGCTACACATTGTAATATTGAAGTCATGGAAGCTCTATATATGGTTCAGTTTACGATTGGCGTTCGTGATGTGAACGCACACGTGAGATTGTACATATAACGTGAAGTAAGTGTCATGCTGAATTCGTAAGCGACATTCCATGCAAAAAAAAAAATAAAACACTTCATCCAGTTTTAAGTCCTAATAAGTGAGGGTCATGTATTAACTAGGAGAAATTACGAGTATTTACCAGTTCTAAACTCAGTGTGATTTATATTAAATACACAAATGTGGTTACTTCAAATAACATCAATAGATATTTATTTCAACCATAGCATCATATCACTATTAACTCTGTTAAGAGATGCAATCACTTGAAAATTTCACGGCAATCTTGAGATCAAGTTATTGATTGCAACACCGTAAGTGTACTTTTTTTTGGAACAATTACAATTAGATGCTTCTGTCACGTTTCGGGTACTAGAGAAACGGAGAAGTATAGATTAACACTTCTCCTTATCAAAAGTTAGTAAAAGAGCAGCTTCCTCAAAGATTTGCCCACGAGGCTTAAAGTCATCATCATTCACTGAAATTATTAAGCGTTGTTGCATGGCCGAGCGGAATGCGTACCTCGGCGTAAATAGAATGGTCATAGATTACTGTTTGATCTAAGCAAATACAGATATGTAGTCCCTATCTAAGCAAGGACGCGCCCTGGCCGTACAGTCTTTTTACTTTCCTTTGCAGTCTCGTCAGGTCTAGTAGTATCTTTCCAACTGCCGGTGAGAGCATGCGAGCTCGATCAGTTGGTCTCTTATCGCCATAGATAAGTAAGAATGTACGTTAACAGGTCTCAAAAGTGTAGGACAAGACGTCCAAAAGTCATAATTCCGTTAAGTTGCAGCGACGCTTGCTCTGTTACGTCTTGTATAGTACTAAACGCAGCCCAATTTATCGAAACCTTATTTTGGTATTAGTTTCATTTAACCTTCGGCAAATCAAAAGGCAAACAAACCACGTCTGATCCCCTCGTCTCATGTGATTTAGTACCGCTGTGCACAAAAAAAATACTGTATGTTGTCATATAATCTTTCCGTTATTTGGAAAGAAAGTAAGCTTTATAAATGAAGAGCTAGAATAAAGTAGCGTTAGAGTATATACATCCGCTGTAATACAGATATTATCAGAATATATATATATATATATATATATACCAGACGAAGGTAAAGTGAAAAGAAGAGCTAAGCAACTCCGTCCAGCTCTGGTCTGCGTTTCACTAAAAAATAGAGAAAACCATTCAAAGAGGTGTTGATCATTCTATTTCGCGAAATCTTAGTGAAGATTTAAAGCCGTGTTGGAAAAATTTTCCATTTTTCATAGCGCCGTTTTAGTGCATTGTAGCAGATCATACTCAGTGTACTGGTGTGATAGCCTTCCTGCCGACATCTTCCAGGGACAAGCCCTTCGTTTCCGGTTGAAGGTAGTAGAAAAAGATGAAGCCACTAATCGTGAAGCACATATACATGAAGAACACGCCTGCAAGAGTATTGTTAAAATCATTATTGACTGGTTAAATTCAATAGAATTTTCTTAGGCGACGGTGTCGATATATTCGAGGTGTAACGTCAATTAGCGCCGACAAGTATGACCACGATAGTAATGCGAACCATTTAGTTCGGCCTTGCGTCTGTAACAATCAATATGTCATCACCGTGACTGTATTAGAATAGTGACTGTGAATTAGTGAGAATCACTGTGAAATAAAGGTTATTATCAGTTTTTCATACATCGTCATGTGGATATTGGTTTACCGTGTTGGGTGAGGGCCTCAGCCAGGGTGAGGAACGTCAACGAGATAACAAGATTAAATAACCAATTGAACGCTGTTGCTATTGAAAAACACGTAGAGCGGCACCACAGCGGGAATAGTTCGCTGTTCACGGTCCATGGCATTGGGCCCATGCCTAAAAAAGGTAACAAGGCGTCCCTATTAGCGTCTGAACGTTTCTGTGGTTTGCTTTATAGAATTATTCAGTTTAATATCAGCTTAGCATGAACGCCTATACAAACATTCTCCCAGCCACAGGTACACCCAGTAAAAAATTTTAGTTGCCATATTTCCGAAAAAAACCACACTCAATTAAAGGCTGACTAATAATAGTATTAATGGAGTACCGTACAGAGAATTCAAATAAAAGGCCTGCTTATAACACTGCACAGAGCGAACTTAGTAGAGTGACATAGTGCTCATAATAGCAAACTGCATTTGTAGCCTTGAGCTTAGCTTTCATAGGATGCTAATGCTATGCAGACCGTTTTCTAGTAGTCCACGCTCGAATCAGCCCACTCCAATGATAAAACCGATGTCACTTGATAATATCGATACTTCCAGATTTGCTTTAGCCTGTGTAAATGGCACGTCAGAACGGGTCGTTGATTCACGGGTACCTATTACTAAAAACGAATCCGATTGCGTGTACCACTTTCGAGCTCTCATCGTTACTATGTCGTTTATATATAACACGTATAGGAAAATAAATGTTTATGGGACTCTCCACTTTGAGGTTAGTTAACCTAGCTGTACGCATAAAACAACAACGCTTTATATAAACGGAAACACCGTGCGGGCTGGAACCCCCCAGCTCTTTTATGCATAGATATTTTCTTGAAGGTAATCGCAATGAAATTTTTCGGAAAGGAGAGAGGTAAAGCCTTATGCACTAAAGGTAAGCGTGAGTTTTCACTACTCATTGAAATCAGAAACAACATCGCCAATAAGCCTAATTATAACCAGCTTCCTCTATTTATAAGCTACTTACTAAAAAGGATCGTTCGTTTGGTACTTAGAAATCATTATTTTACATATATTCTGCCAAAAAGGCATCTATTGAAAAAAGTGTTTCAATTACACACTATGCGGCGATTACTCTGGGCATTCAAATAATCACATATAGGTAATAATACGTATATAATAGATATTCGAATTTTTCTAGCATCTACTGTTTTCAATTTGTGGCGCTATATTGAAACTAACTATGGGTGTCCTATAGTTATCATAGAAACGAGGAGGTCATATATTGAACACGTTTAGAATTTTTGCTTTTTTATATATATATATATATATATATATATATATATATATATATATTTCTGTGTAAAACAAGTAGGACTAATTTCTACAATTGTGCATAATTTTATGCAGTAGCTCATTTATAATATCAATGCGAAAATAGTAACAATAGTATTAGTAACGCCAGCGGTTTCAAATCGATTTGAACTTTCGCGCGCTTCTACCGCGAGGACCTTCTTTCTCGTTGTAGGTAATCCTCGGCTGTTTAACCGCCTCTCCACTCGTGGTAAACTTAATAAATGCGTTCATCCGTCAGCTCGTGTTGTTTGCAGCGTTGTCCCGAACATAAAAACAGCAATCGTATCGTTTGTTTCCCAGCATCTAACTCCTAGTCAACGTGTTGCCAAATCGGTTCTATTTATTTTCTCGGCTGTTTCGCGAGCGGCATCAGCAAATAAAAATGCGACTTCGCTTCTACCTAGATGCTCAAGGTGAGTAGCTGATGAAGTGGTGGTTTACTGAATCGTCACTGCTTATAGTTCGGTAGACATGTAGATTTACTTTTGTCTGTATGTACATTCCTCAGCCGTGATCTTTTCAACTTAGACCACACAAATCTCTCAAGAGAGAGCGCGATGATCATCGAGCAGTACATGTTCTCGATAGTTCTGCGGCGTGTGGTGGTTCGGCGAGGAGAGATGTGAAACTGGGCAGTGATGCCGCGAATTCTCATGTTCACATACTTAAATCTTTTACGTTGAATGTGTTCCTAATTTTTTTTGAACAATCTTCTCTATCTTCCATTTTATTCAATCCTATGTCAGTTGCACCTGTCCCGCGAGTACCTTCATCAACCGTACTTACCTTCATTTTAATTTATATGTATACACATATATATGCAACCCATATGTGTGCTCTATCTAGAAAGACTCGTATAGTTCGTCTGCAGTAATTTGTCGGTTGCCCCGCATCTCTCTTCCCTATGCGTATTCGTATTGATACCCACGCTGACGGAACATGCTCATCGCGTTCCAGGTGTCGACCTGTAACGTGCGCTGTAACAAGTCAGACTCGGCAGGCTATTCTATCAGCCGTATCTGAGTTCGGGGATACCACTCTATCTACACGTCTAACAACACGTTCAGTACTACGCACTGTGCACTCATGTACGCGGAGAACATATGGACAATTTGCACGTCTAGCGCTGTTGTTCCATATTCGTGAATGGCCGTTTGCTTTGAGCGAACTTTCATCTTTTAGGAACACAAGTACAGATACAAACATATACAAATAGCAGCCATGGCCTTTTCGGTCCTCCAAAAGAAAGACAATGCGCACGGCGATGCTATTTGGGCCTGTACGTGGGTCAAGTCATCAACTACTAATGAGGATCTGGTTATAACTGGTAGCCTTGATGATTCGGTCAAGGTTTGGACCTGGGACGAAGATAAGCAACTTCAGCTGAAGCACACGTTGGAAGGTCACTGCCTTGGCGTTAATTCGGTTGCCGCCAACCGAGAGGGAACTCTCTTGGCAACCAATGCGTTGGACGCTACTGTCAAATTCTGGGATCTTGAAAGCGGCGAAGAAACGAACGTTATGGAGTCGCATGAACACCACGCGTGGAAAGTCACGTTTTCGCCTGATTCACGCCTAATTGCCATCGGCACACAGCAACGTAAGGTTTCGCTTTACGAGGTAGAGACCCGCAAGGTTGTCGGCGAGTTGGATACAACCGGCAAATACATCATGGCATTGGCGTTTTCGCCCGATGGCAAGTACCTTGCAACGGCGTCGATAGATGGGCCTATCAACATATTCGATCTGCAGACGTCGGCTTTGTTAACTACACTCGACGGCCACGCGATGCCTGTTCGAGGGCTGGCCTTCTCGCCGGACTCGTCGGTGCTCGTCACAGCGTCAGACGACAAACACGTAAAAGTCTATGAGGTTGGCAAGCTCGACCAAAGTGCTACAGATGTCCACCTCGTTACCACCCTATACGGCCATGGCAGCTGGGTCGTGGATGTTGCGTTTGCACCTGATGGCAAACGTTTCGCCACTTGCTCGGCCGATAACACCGTCAAAGTTTGGGATCTGGCGGCTCGTGAATGTGTACACACATTTTCGGCCCACTCGCTACAGGTAGCAGCGGCCTCGTACAACCCGAACGGGAGTCGGCTTGTCAGCGTCTCTGATGACCGTAGTATGGTGGTCTATAACACGCCTGTTTAGGCAGCTAGATTGGCTGAACTACTCCTCAAAAGCGAAGATGCTAAATCGTGTTAATTGACTCTGGCGAACGCCTTTATTAGATATCATTTCAATCCACATCACTATAATGATTATATACACAAATAGAAGAAAACATGAGATGAGACTAAGTTATACGGGTAGAAAAAAGACAGATGTTAAAAAGTCCAATAGTAATCTGTTTGAACCTGCGAAGAAATTAATGCGCGGGAAGGCGTACACAATGCATGTACAAATACTGTATTATAAAATTTCATTGGTAGCCAGTCATACGATTGGAACTTAGCTTTTTCTTCAGTCATCGCATGTGTTTTTTTCATTTATTTAAGTAGTTTGCATTCTAAAGTTAAAAGGATTACGTGTGAGATCAAACATTATATTAATACGTCCACGTAATTCGATCATGACATATAAGAGTTATAAAGAGATTGAGATGGAATTAACAAATGAGATAATAATGAAACAAATAAAAAGTATATTTGTCATTAAACGAAACCATTGTATTATCTTTAAAGACAAGTAAATTAAAGCGGCGGGCCTAAAGGCTGAAGTAAAAGATGTAGAAGTAATAACGTCTAACAATTGAATTGGCAGGCGAGCGCGTCTACACGTTCCAACAGCATGACCCGCAAGGGAAACCCACGAAAAGTGCTCATCCAGCTCGGTTCTCACCTGATGATAAGTACTCGGAGCAGAGGGTTCTGTGCAAAAAGCGCTTTGGACTTCTGCCGACTCAACAGCCTGCTCCGATTTATTAGAAGGATAAAAACATTTACGCAGTACCGTGTATATAAGAAAAAAACTATCTGTCTGTGTGAATGTTAGATTGGTTCCGCAAATAAACTACTTCGGTTGTAGCTTCGGTCACCAACGGAAGCAATTATTGGGAGGACATGGTATGGTCTATATTTTAAACAATGCATGCTAAATAGTATGCATATACTGAAGAGAAGCTCCGTTGACCAGTGCCGCCAGCGTGATGTACGCAAAAACAAAAACATTTGGACGGCTTGCTGTTATGAACTAACGTTATGACATGACTAATATTTTTGACTTGTTGATGGACTGGAAAAATAAAAGGTGCCAAGATTGTTCTAGGTAGCGCCGTTACTTCAAATAGTAAAAAGCGATAACGTAGTTTTGATAAGGAACTTGTATCTACACAAACAGCTCCTGGTAAAATCGCTTTAGTCAATTAGCGAGCGTTAAAAATTTTACTATATAGTTCGAATCTGTCTCACCGTTATAGTAACCGGAATGACTCGTTAAATCTACACAAACCAAGTCTAGATACAAAACAAGATAGTATTTAAAAAAAGCAAAAATTCGAGAACGACCAATAGGTATCGCCGTAATCTGTTGGATTATAGAATGAATGATTGTTCGATAACAAAAAAAAAGGGCACGTTGGTCTTATCATTTCTGGTTCAATGCAGCCTTTGCAAATGCTAAAGGACGTTCCAATTAGAACATCTGTGTTGAAAGGACAATAAATTATTTGGATGTTATAGTGCGATACCTAGCTTGCGTCCTTGACTTTTTATGTGAAAATATTTTGCACATGGCGTAGCCACATGAATTGATTAAGAATACAAAACTATTCGCCCTACGCATAACATTCGTAAGGAAATAATAAATATTAACTGATAAAATAGTCAACTTTAACGTAGAAACTCCGAAGGATTTGGAGGTTGGAGAACCTTTTGCTAACAACGACAGCGATGGCTCTTCGTCTCGCTTATTTTCACTCTTATCTAACGATAGCTTAATAGTAATATTCAATCGGTTTCAACTAAATATAAAGCTATTAATTTCTTAGGCATGGAATGGATAAAAGTTATTGTATTTTAGAGCCAAAAACATTTTTGCTTTCAGGAAGGTAAGGAGTGAAAACTTAAAACAGATTATTTATACTAATGCGCAGTTTGTGTTACATCTTTTATATAGTTAGTTAAACTTTTTTTGCGAGTTAGTGAATAGAACTAGAGTTGTATAGACTACGGAGATAATTTCATTGAGATCGCGTAGAATCTGAGATAACAAAATTTATGGCTTATATTTAAAATAGATTACATGTCCACATGAAAAAGAAATTTTTCTAATTGTGCCATACACTATGAGTTATTGTGTGGTACCTGCGGATCTGTAGTAACAATAGTCGGCGTCCGTAAGGAACCAAAGGAGTCAAGAAAACACATTTCCAAGTATTATTCCTCACGGCCGCTGCCAGCAGGACAAAACAACAAAAAATAAAGACTAACAGATTTAGATATTCTTGACAGCGCTGTAATGCGGCTTCATTCACTAGATGGTCATGTTTTCTGGTAACTATCAGAAGTTAATGAGAGATTACACTTACTAAATTGGTTTTGATGTGACTAGAAGGGAGGACTTGATAAATACTTCGCTACTCCACGTGTTAGATACAGGTTCCTCCCATTGCACAGAATTTTTTTATATTGTTCAATCAGTTATTATATCAAATAGGGTACTCACAAGCTTGTAGTTAGAGCAACCTCGGGCTCCTTTCTCCTCTAGACTCGTCCTGAGCTAAATAAAACTTCTTAAGCGATCACCTGATATTAGCTAAACGCTATACAATTCAATTTACAACACATTAATAGCTATGATGCAGCAAGTTGACGAAGCAACCAGATTTGTCAAAATTCTGTGATGTTCGATGCCACACAACTCATGTGTGAACACTAAAATTTATTTCCTACGGATATTAAGGTATATAGCAGACTTAGTAGTTGCCTCACATACGAAAACGCTTTTGTTAGAAATAACCTCACATATTTCGAAAACTTCCATGTAAGATTGAGAATGATGGTGTGCTTTTCATCAGAAACAAGACAACCAGTGAAACTGACCTACTCATACGCTGTTCGACAAACTGTTGCACCCACTGAAGGCGTCAGATGAAAACATGTACGTATAAGTAAAGCATAATCGAGTGAATATATTATATTAAAAAAGCGACAAAATGACGATTTGGTGCCGTCATTTCATGGTAGCGTTGTTCATTCAGGACTTCATGTCTATTATAAGCATTTGCTAAAAATATGATTTATATATTCTTTCTTGGTTTCGAATTGTCGTATTAATCTCGGTTTTCTTTTAAAGTCAAAAGTGTCTATTAGGTAGATAACTCGATTTTGATGTCATATAAGTAGATCACCGTAATACTACTTTATCAATAATGAGCGTTTGAAGGAGCTCATAAGCCCTTACTAAGAGAAAACATTCGCAAGCGACTCATAGTAAGCGGGGATAATTTCACCAATAATTAAGCTTATTTACACATAAATCGTTTATTGTTATACCCTAACATTGAATATGTTAATACCTTTCATAGCAGTTGCCTCTATGGGATTACCGCTATTGTGGACTCATGAGGAGCAAAACTGCCCATGTCATTTAATCTTAAGGTCACCTCTTGACACATATAACTGCTGGCGTGTCTGCTTGGATACCATCATTATAGGCCCGCTGTCACTAACAATACTTGCTAGTTTATGCCCCCACTAGGCTCATCGAAGGAGTAGTATGATGACTTCATATGTAACGCTTTAGCGATTGAGAGGGTTTCAAGCAGCAGTGGCGTTTGGTGTGGAACCCGTGACCTGTTGCAAGCTTAGCTTATATATTAGTAAGTTCACAGAACGTCACAGGTTTTAAAGTTGTACGTGCCCTGCTATAAAATAGTGCTTTCAGAATAACTGACATCTTGTCACTGCACCCTAAACGTGCGACGTATAATACGTTGCAGAAAGCATGTGGCAAGCATAGAAAATAATGACAATAAATTAATCTGTGGCTCGATAAACGACGGCACGGTACGATAATTTAGATTTTACTCTCAGCCATAAACTCACCAACGTCATATAGAAAAGCTTCCTTAGTGCTCTTACGAGAGGACTGATGTTGTATAAACACTGTCCTATTGCTGTCGTATTGTGGATGAAATATGTCGTTATTTGCAAGACAAAATAAAAAACAAAAAAAATCTATTATGTGAAGCAAGCAATGGCCTTTCTTTGACTGAGCAAAATTTAGAGAAGATTGGCGTTTTGCTTATGGAACTCATAATGCTTGAGGATGCCAATTCAGCAAGTTTCTTGTAATATGTGAATAGAAAGTTAATAAGTCTGAAAGATGTTGAGGCTGCCCTTATCAGCCTATCATTAAATCGACAACTTACTAAAAGGCACGAGACAGATTGCTTAGAGACCTGTAACCTTTATAAGAACTTAAACATTCGATATTAGTACTATATAGACACTGTAGGGAAGGACTGAACAACTCACGTGTCACAGTTTGTGCCCTTGCCAAGTTATTGCTGATACCACATCAGTTGCACTATTGTGCATGCGTTATGTGCGATTATTGTAACAAAACCTCGTGAGTGAGATCTTGGTTTTTGGATTTCTCTATGTATGACGCTAGTGTGCCAACAATACGCAGCATGGTTGTCATGCCCAAAATAGCAGTGTTGTAAATAACACGGTCCATATTTTCGCAGGGCTAGTAGTTTCACAAGGTGAGCTGTCTACATGGATAGTTGCAAACTGTTGGCTTCGTTGGACACAAGAACATCTAGTCAACATGTTTTGCTACAGTGGTGAGACACTATATGACTGTAAGGTAAATGAAATGCAGAAATGACCTAGAAAGAATACGGCTGAACAGTAGTCTTATATAAATTAGGTGGCTGTATGTGTTCTGTAATTATACCACATTGTTTGTACATTGTAAGAGTTGTACATGCGAAAATAGTTGTGCAGAATTCTGATTACAATAAATGTAAGCAAGAGAACCATGAGACGGTAATGTTGTTTTCTCTTTTATAGGGAGACAGTGTGCACGAATGCGGTCCTCAGAACAGTGCCAAAAACGTGATTGCTTTAAAATAGTACACTTGACAATAGAGTAGGCGGATCCGAACGGAATTTACCATATGTCTCTGGTACTAGATATTTTAAAAAAATACAACAAGTTGATTAAAGCATAAAAAAGTAATCGAAGGAAAGCAATACACATTAACAAACAGTAACAAACTTTGAAAACTAAGGGTTGCCTCCTCGATTGCTAATCCTTGAAGCGGCGTGAGACGCTTACTAATTATTGGATAATGGAAGTGACGAAGTAAACGCGGTTCCAACCCAAACTAAACGCCGGCTCTTCGAACAGGGAGACAGATATCCACACAAGAACAAACGACAATATCATGACTCAGACGGAGCCAACTTTGCAATTAGCACATACCCCTTTCTGTAGTTGTTTTTAGAAATTACATCATTGCTGCTTTTTTGTTATCGATAGGACGAAGAAAATAAGACCTTAAACATAATTAGAAACATTATTAGGAGAAAAGGAGTAACCCTTCGGCAATATTTTTAGAAAATATGAGCTATTATATTAGCAAATACGTAATACGTAATAGCATTGTTGTGCGGAAAACAAAACACTCGATAGATACTAATAATAACAGTAATATGGAGGTAGTTTTAATTCTGATATAGATTAAATCCGGATATGGGATTGTAGAAGCTGGTCTTGCCAAGAAGCTTAAGGAACATTTCAT